GCTGCACAGAAGATGTTGGAGTCAGTCTCCCCACCATCACAGACATCTACACCTCCAGATGCAGGAAGAGGGCCACCTGCATCATGAAGGACCCCACTCACCCAGCACACACACTTTTTGCCCCACTCCCCTCAGGAAGGAGGTTAAGGAGCATTAAGTGTAGAACCACTAGACTGAGGAACAGCTTCTACCCTGAGGCTGTTAGACTCATGAATCTCTAACTAGAATAATCACTGTGAAAAACCATATCATGTTGCTGCTGATCTGTTTCATGTTGCTGCTGATCTGTTTCATGTTGCTGCTGATTTGTTTGATGCTGCTGTGTTCATACGTGCTCATCTGCTCACGCAGACTCATGTTCGTGCTGCTGTTCGACATAATGTGTTTATGCTACTAGTGCTTAGTGTGTTTTTAGTTAATGTTTTTCTTAGTTCATATCTTAGATGTTATTACTGTTTTTCCTTTTACATTTTATACTTTCGTTGGATGTAACAGGGACCCTGTGTACACAATTTCGTTCCACCACATGTACCACGTGATGTGAACGACAACAAAGAAACTTGAATCAGGCAGAAAAAAGCTCCTCCACTCAGAGAGAAACCAGAGTTGTGTTGACGCAAAATGGAAAACGAAATATAAATGGGATCTTTAGGCTTCTTGGTACCAAGAGCTCGTCAGAAAGACACAATTTACTTCAAATTTTAGGTGAAATCTATAAAAATACCAACGATAACTCAGTTTAACCGAATCTGAGTTGAAATCTTGATCTGTTGTTCCCAAGATTTTCAGCTTCCACCTACAAAATAAAAGCTGCAGAGACTCACATTTATAATATTTGCTGATTAAAATTTGTAAAAACTTGTTAATAAGCTATTTAGCAAATATCCTCGTCAATCATTATAATATGTTTAATGGATTTACGACGTGTTTTTATCTCTCTGTAACAGTTAAAATTAATTATGTTATTAGGGATCGTTTTTAAAGTTGATTTAATTTCTGTAGGCCTGCTTGTTCTTGATGAACCAAGATTTTCTCTTTCTGTTTCGTACATACATTTGTTTTTTTTAGGTTTAAAACAACTTTTATCCTTAATTTGTCCATTTTTCTCAAACGTCACATCGTCCCAAGAGTTGTCAAGTTTAGGAAAATCCTCTTTCCTGTGTGTCAAACAGTTTTTTGTTTTTTTTATTACAGATTAAACTTTTTTTTTTTAAGGGATCCGTTCAGGATTTTGCAATTAAAATCAACAAAAAGCTGGATTGACCTTAAAATACCTTTTCAGAAATTTCCATCACGCTTTGACACAAGCTGTGGAGTAACTTTCTCAGATTCTGAGCTCCGGTTTCTTTAAGTTCCTCATATTTTCGGGTCTGAAACCTGACCTGCGGTGTTGTTTCAGTTCTGAGAACTCAGCACTTCTTTATCTTTAATTAAAGACGAATTGAATACTTTCCAGTCTTTGTGCTTTTATATTAACTAATTAGTTAAATTAATAACTTTTGCCGCACAGAATTATTATATGTATATATTTTATTAAAGTTTAATGTTAAACCCACCCTGTGAGGATGTAAATAAGACGTAGGGAGGTGCCAGCGGCAGGTCGGACTGCTCAGTGCTGTCTCATGGCATGAAGGAGCAAAACTGTCACACTAAGCACCATAAGCACATATTTTGAGCCCAGGGACAACAATAGACACGCGTGTCCCTTTGTGATCTATTCAGGGCCGACACAGAGCCGTGATCCGGCTGAGAGCCTGCACACAGCGAGCCGGTACAAACAGATTAGTGGGCCGGTGTGTCAGCCGGCCCGGCTCATCGCGGTCAGACGGCTGCTCTGTCATTTTGTGGCCGTGTGAGCTGCAGGTACGTCTGCACACAACAAGCCGTGTTTACGTGCACTAAATCTGTACCTGGAGGATAAAAATACGAAAATGACCGGCCTCCTGCGGCCTCGCGCTCACAGGCCGCAGCCAAAGGGAGGATGTAGAACCTCACCTGAACCATTTACAGCAGATTATTCATCTATTCTTTGAGCATTTCGTGAGCTGTCGGGGACTATTGCAACAGAGCTGGGAGGGCTTTTTTTATTTAAAGTGGCTGGAAGCCGCTGAGGCTCAAATCTGTAACACCTGAGTGACCAAAGAACAGCCGAAACAGCGATGATGATCACCTGTACCCATTTCTGAAACACAACAGCACTGCGGTCTTATTGTTTCTGTGGATATCTGCCACTTGCCTGGGGCTAAGACTTTGATACGCGCCTGAGAAGAATAAACATCAAAGGTCACTGTCTGGCTGTGACGACGTGGCCACCATTCCCAAAATGAAAGGCCTCGTTTCACAAATGGGAAACAGCAAACATCTGACAGCTGGTTCAGATCAATACGTCTCTGCAGCTGGGCGAGCAGCAAAGCAGCTGTTTGACCCAAAATCAACATCTGGGTCAGCTGGACCAGTTGTTGCACCTGCAGACCAACACAAACCAAAAAACAAGCTGCTGAGAGGAATGCTGCTGGTTTGAATTCCTGAGGAGATGATTGTTTTTGCTGCCCTTTTTAGTTGTGCCTAGAGCTGCTGGTGCTGGTCAGGGGACTGAAATGGCGCTGAACTCATTTTAGTTTGAATTAAAACAGAAATTAAACATATTAAAGTCAAATAAAGCCTCATAAGTTTGGTTTGAAACAGGAAAATTTAAGTTTGCAGAGTAAAGGAACCAAGACGAGTGTCAACCAAATTAAAAATAACTTAGTGGTGTTTTCCACTTTAGTTACCGGTAGTTAAAAAGTTAATGTTCTCCTCTAAATAAATTTCCTGACTTGACCATTCACTGTATAGCAGTTCTTGAGTGTTTGAGCGCTCCTAATGTGAACCTGGCTTCCTGTTAGAGCTCTTTTGTTTTATGTTAAGGATTATCTTGATTATATCAGACACAACATCTCAGACTTACAGACTGAGTGTTCTTGCTGCTAAACACGGTTCTAGAAATAAATAATTATGTGAATTCCACATGGCTGCTGCCTTTGGGCTCCGTTGTTGGACAAGTAACTCCATGTACTGGTTGCTACATTTGTATTAACCCCATTTTAAGACTCAATGAGGACCTGGTGACCTGGTAGAGCTGGATGCCCTTCCCTAAGATTCAAAGATTCAGTTTCTAGGCTTGAAGTGTACTTGTTGACACATGGAATGATGACAGACCTGCATGGAAGGGACGGATTTTACTTAAAATAGACCAAGATAGAAATAATGAGATTCAAACAGAAAGACAAATACAGAAAAATATTAAGTATATGAACTTGTGTGTTTTCTAGTCATTTGTTAGTAATTGATCTAATGTGTTATCATTCATTCTTTTACGCCTGTGTCAAGTTTCAGGCATAAAATTGAAAATACTAAGTAAAAATACTTATGTTTTTAGTTCAGGTTTTACAAAAACATAACAAAAACAAACAAAAAAAACAGGAAAAAGACATTTTTGCAGGGGGAAGTGACGTCACAATTACTCCAACTTTGAACTTCCGCTCGCCCACAATTTTTTTTTAACAGTTTAACACGGAGTTAACATGGAGTTTAACGTGATGGTCATCAATTCTTTCGTTTTTTAAGTGAGTTTAAATCTGCTTTGAACTCATTTTTAGACCAAAATGTCTTTAAAAGGCAGCGATAATTTGACTGAACAGTCCGCACTAAAGGAGGAACTGAATAAAAAGGTTTGTGAAATAATTTCCGGTGGCTAATGCTAATGCTAACACGGAGCTGACTCGCATGTAGAGAAACATTCTGGTGCTGATGGCAGCTTTAAGTTGTGGGTTTTTTCGCTTAAGTAAATAAATATCGTGTAAATTTTGTTTTACAGATCAAAGAGCAGAAAGTTATCTTGGACGAGCTCTCCAATCTGAAGAAAAACAGGGTGAGGTGTTGAAAATGGACCATTTTAACCACTTTCATGGCATCTAAATCACCATTCTGGCTCCAGTTAAAGAAAAAGTCGCACTACACAAACACAGTTCCTTTGTGAAACTTTAATTCTTTGTAATAAACTAGAAAAAGATGAATGTCGCTGTTTTATGTGCATAAATTAAATTTAAACCAAGCTCTAGCTTTATTGGTTAAATTTGAATTGGTTTTTAAAATACAACAAAAAAGGGCTGTCTTTAGCATGTACCTTCCTTTAGACCCGATCAAAATGAACCAGACATTGATTAGGATGGTCAAATAAATGCTAGATGACTCCATAGAGAATTTACTTGGTTTTGAATATTGTTTTTGATTTTAGAAAATAAAAATGCAATATAAATAATCTGGTCGAATGTGGGTTTATTGTCAAAAAGAAAAAAGTCCACAGCTCAGTCAGTTTTACAGCTATTGAGTTTGTTGTGGTAGTAACTGAGAGTCATTCACAACACAAACTCTGAGCATTAACAGATCACATCAGGTTATAGTTTAAAACTTTTACACACAAGGCAGCAACAAGGTATTGTCAAATCATTTATTATTTACAATTGTTATAGGACCAGCACAGAAATCACATGTATTGTACCTAATATGTTGTTACAGCAGTCTTTAAAATAATGTTTTTAAGTTTAAAACAATGTTTTAAGAATGCATATTCTCATCTCTCTATTCATGTACTTTCTGTAACTTCATTTATTTTTTCAGAAAGTCTACATCCAACAGAGGAACAGTAATATTTTTTTTCTGGCTGACAGAAGTCAGACTCTGAGTTCGTGCAAAAGTGAGTCACCGTAAACTGTTCTCTGTTTTTATTAAAATGATCGTTCAGCAGGTAAATGAGTTGTTTTGTTTGCAGATGATCTGGATAATCTGAAAAGGGAGCTGCAGAACATTTAGGACATCAACCATGTGCGGCATCTTTTGTCTGCTGAGTCTGTCGGGCGCGCGCTGTGAGCGCGACAAAACCATTTTTAAGTCTCTGCAGAGACGAGGACCTGACTCGAGCCGCGATGTGGCTGTTATGGGGCCAAACTCCAGCTACTGGTGTTTATTTTCAGCCCACCTTCTTCACATGAGAGGCCTCTTCACCCCTCAGCCTGTTCAGGACGACGCCGGAAACATCTTGATGTGGAACGGAGAGATTTTTGGAGGCTTGCCGGTGATGCCAGAGGAGAATGACACTGACGTCACTTGTCGGAGGTTGTCCACCTGCAAGACTCCTTCAGAGATCCTCTCGGTCCTGATGGCCATCCAGGGGCCGTGGGGGTTGGTTTATTACCAAAGAGCCGAGGACTTCCTGTGGTTTGGCAGGGACTTCTTCGGCCGGCGGAGCTTGTTGTGGAAGTTTGAAGCAGAAATCTTGACCCTAACTTCAGTCGCAGCTCAGGTTTCTGATGAATCAAATTGGAAAGAAATCCCAGCAGTCGGTGTTTTCAGGGTCGACCTGAAGGAAGCTGCACGATCCGGCTCCATGAGCTTCGAAGTTTTTCCTTGGACTTACACAGGAAGTTGCCAAACATCTCTTTGCATTCAGAACCTACAGGAGTCTGTTCCCAGCGGCTGCAGTGTGGTTATAAACCAAGCGGGTCTTGTCCTCAACTCTCCAGTTTGTCCTCTGAACGTGTCCCTTCCGAACCCGGTAAAAAGGACAGAGACTTGGTCAGATTCAGGTCTATCTGTGGAAGATCTGTTGAGAAGCAGAGAGAAACCTGTTGAGGTGGATCGTCTGATTGATGTCCTCAGTGAGGCAGTGAAGAGGAGGGTCCAGCCTCGTCCCTACAGGCCAGAGGACAACCCGCCTTCTAATGACTCTGCAGACGTTGCGGTTCTGTTCTCAGGGGGGATTGACTCGATGATCCTGGCTGTGTTAGCGGATCGTCACATTCCTGCTCACCAACCGATCGACCTTCTCAACGTTGCCTTTAGGCTGCAGGAGCCCGAACAGCAGAAGAAGACTACAGAGAAACCAGAAAAGGACAAAAACAAGCCCTCAGATTCCAAGACCGACTGGGCTCAAACGTTCAAACACTTCAACGTTCCGGACCGGCTGACCGGACGAGCCGGTCTGAAGGAACTACAGGAGCTGAATCCTGAGAGGCGGTGGAGGTTCGTTGAGATCAACGTGACTCAGGAGGAGCTGCAGACGATGAGACAGGAGAGGATTTGTCATCTGGTGCATCCCCTGGAGACGGTGTTGGACGACAGCATCGGATGTGCCGTGTGGTTCGCCGCCCGGGGGGCAGGGGTCCAAGGTCAGAAACCCTTCTCATCATCAGCAAAGGTGAAACTTCAGACTCTGAGGGCTTTTTATTTAATGTAAATGAGTCCCATAGGCTCAATGAGACTAACCTGTATAAATAAAGGGTCGAATGAATTTGAGTTATTAAAGAAAAAATGGCGTTAATTACCGTTAACTCTGAATTAATCCTCAGTAACAGAACCAACGTTCTTCTGTCGGTCGGCTGCAGGTAATCCTGACGGGAATCGGAGCTGACGAGCAGCTGGCGGGTTACTCCAGACACAGAGTCCGGTTTAATACGTCGGGACTCGAAGCGCTGATCCAGGAACTGGACATGGAGCTGGGCAGGATTTCCTCCAGGAATTTAGGCAGAGACGACAGAGTGATCGGAGACCACGGGAAGGAGGCCAGGTGGGTGTTGAACTGAGCTTCCTCGGGGGGTCAAAGAGGTGGTTCTGGTTCTTTGAGTGTAGACGACAGAGTAACGTACAAGACCTGGAGTGAAATGAAGATTTAGGACCCGTCTTCAAACAAATATTCACTAACAGTTAAACTAAGAAGAGTGTCTAGATAGATTATAAATTAGATGTTTTGTCTGAACTAATCTGAGGCAACAGGCGTTTGTAATTTTAAAATGCAGCCGAATATGAAAGAAAAACCCAAAGACGTTCAGGAAGTCAGAACCTTTGATGAAAACCGTCTGCTTTTAAGAAAAAATATAAACTCATGGAATGCATATCGCCCGCTGCCTTCGTGACAGTTTTTAACTAAAGCATCTTTTGACGTGAAAAGCATGAAGCTGTTTTAGTCAAACAAGTAAATAACGTTAAGTTGGCCCTCAGAATGAGGGCTGGGTGCGACTCTCGGCTACTACCACACCAGGTTTCAGCTCAGTTGAGCTGTAACTCCAAAGGCATCAACAGAAATAATGAGAACAGAAATCCGTTTTTAAATTATATTTTTATTCATCTTAGGACCAGGCTCCAACCCGTACAGGTGTTTGGATTATTTGTTTGTTCATACATAAAATAAAACAAACTTCAGACGTGCCCAAAGATCAAAGTGATGCATCGGCGGGTGAGGTTTTAGGTATTTCAGCGGTTTTCCTTCATTCCTGCAGGTTCCCCTACCTGGACGAGGAGGTGGTGAGCTTCCTGAACTCCCTCCCCGTGTGGGAGAAGACCGACCTGTCGCTCCCCCGTGGCGTCGGAGAGAAGCTCCTCCTCCGACTGGCGGCCAGGCGGCTGGGCCTCGGCCAGTCCGCCGTCCTGCCCAAGAGGGCCATTCAGTTTGGCTCCCGCATCGCCAAGATGGAGGACCGGCGTGAAAAGGCCTCGGACAGATGCACCAGACTCCATGCCGATTAGAGGGTTTTTAAATAATCTGGGTTGATTCAAGATTTACTTTAAAAAAATCTTGAAATGGAAGATTTTTGCTCCAATTTCCTCTAAGCCATGTAGGATTTTACGTCTGGGAGCTTCTCCCTGAAGTAAAGGTCGCACTCGACGTACGAAGGCAGGTTTCCAACATCGAAACGCCCCAAAATCTGATGGACGTACACCGGTTTCCTGAGGAGGAGACACATGACTTCAGAACAGACCCCGAACCCGATCAACGCTCCAGAACCAGCAGAACTCACCTCTGAATGAGCCAAGACACAAAGTTCCCAGGAGCGTCTTTCTCTTCGATCGGAGCGTCCTGCAGAGACGAGACAAGAAAGTTCTGCTTGAACTTCTTCTTTTTTTAAAACTCACGTCTTGTGTTTTGAATTTACCTTTTTTTGTTGAAGGAAAACATCCAGCAGAGGAAGACTCTCCTCTGAAAGTACGTAAAAACACGGACACTGGAACAGAAACGCAAGATTACTCGACAGGTGGAGGAGAGTTTTAAGCCAAATAAATGATTTAAAAACAAATTAACCCGCTGTTTGTCCACAGAGATGAAGCACGCTGATATTTTTAATAAAATAAGATAAAAGTTGGTGTGATCCATCTGTTTTTACAGTTTAAGAGACAAAAGCTTGATTACTGAGAACAGATACACGTGTTTCACCTGAAGGAATCAAACAGGAAGTAGGAAGTCCTGAATGGTAAAATTTGGAACGGTTTTTAGATTTTGGTCAAAGAACTGTGAAAACGGCTGAAAGATTTCACCAAAGAAGCCGAAACTAAGTTAAAGTTTGAACAAAGAGGACAAAAACTAAAAAGGAGCAGAACAAAGGCTGAACAGAAGCATGCAGCTAAAAGATAAAGGGGAGCAGAACAGTAGCTAAAAGCAGGAAGTAGCAGACCACCGACTGAAAATTTAACAGGTGCTAAACATAGAAGTTTCTGAAATTAGCAAAACGGTGGCAAAACTAGTTGAAAGTAACAACATGAAAAAGCCAACACCCAGAAAACTTGCTAAAAAAGGCAGAACAGTAGATAAAAGTTCACAAATAAAAAAAAAGTCTAAAAAAAGCTGAACGATAGCTAAAGTTAAAAAGTAGCTGAACGGTGGCTTAAGGCTAAAAGCAGAACTAGCTGTAAGTAGTAAACTAACTACTAGTTTAGCCGGTCTAAACTAACATCAGCAAAACTAGCTTGAAAGCAGAACAGTAGCTAATGATCCCATCTGCAGATGAATGTTTCAAAAACGAAGGACATGATTACTGAAAGATGATGAAATGATTATTAGTGACATTATTTAAAATGGTGGACTGCTCTCTTCAGGTCGAGGGTGAGGTTCTGCCTCAGGTGGAAGAGTTCAAGTATCTCGGGTTTTTGTTCACGAGTGTGGGAAGAATGGAGCGTGAGATTGGCAGACAGATTGGTGCAGCATCTGCAGTATTGTGGACTCCGTACTGGTCCGTTGTGGTGAAGAGGGAGCTGAGCTGTAAGGCTCTGTTTACTGGTCAGTCTACGTTCCTACCCTCACCTGTGGTCACGACCTCTGGGTAGTGACTGAAAGAATGAGATTGTGGGTACAGGCGGTTGAAATGAGTTTCCTCTACAGGGTAGCCGGACTCTCCCTTAGAGACGAGGTGTGAAGTTCAGTTATCAGAGCGCGGAGATCATTAGCTGCAGGAGGGAGCTTCTCCCTGCAGCTAATGAATTAGCACGTGCTAAATCATCTAAAATGTATTTTAAATAAACAATCCATGCTGCTTGTGCGGCTCATCCATCAGTCAGCCAATTGTGTATCATGTCCAACCTTACTTTGAAAAGCCGCGATAAAGAGTCCATGAAAGTCGAACCGCGAAGTAGCGAGGGACTACTTTATAAGAAAATGAAATTAGGGACAATATGCTAAAGCAAATGTAAGAGTTTTTGAAATAATCAAAAAGAGCTCTGTATTATGGTGAAACTATTTAAATAAAGTTATATATTTTGAAAATAATCTTTCAGCTGTTCCCTCTTCAAGGGTCTCTACAGGTGCAAGTCCTCCTCCATCTCAATCTGTCCTCACTCCATCTACCTCCATGTCCTCTCTAACTGCATCCATACATCTCGTTTTCCTGGCAGCTGAATTTCTAACATCCTTCTACCAGAATAGCCACCGTCCTTCCACTGGACATGTCCAAACCATCTCAGTCTGTCTTCTCCAACTTTATCTCCCAGATGTTCAACCTGTGCTGTACCTCTGATGATCTCATTCCTAATCTTATTCATCTTGTCACTCCAAAAAAGAACCTCAACATCTTCTTTTCTGCCACTTGCAGTTCTGTCTCCTGTCTCGTCTTTCATTCTCTTCATTCATTAGCTCCTCAAAGTTCTGTCTTCCCGTCACACTCTCCTCACTTGTTAGAACATTACTGCTACTATCTTGAACAAGCCTAACCTGCTGCACATCCTTTCCAGCCTGATCCCTCTGTCTCGCCAATCAGTACAAGTCCTTCTTGTCCTCTTTAGTGTCCAGCCTCCCATACAACTCATCATACGCCCTCTGCTTTGCCACCTCCCTCTTTGCTCTACATTGCATCTCCTTATTTCCCCGTCTCCTCTCACTGTCATATTCTAGGCTAACCTCTTTCTTTGAACGGCGTCCTGCACTTCACTATTCCACCACCAGGTTTCCTTATCATCCATTCTCTGTCCTGATGACACACCGAGTACCTTCCCACCCGACCCGTCTCTTTAATTACTGTTGTTGTAGTAGCCCAGTCATCTGGAAGCTCGTTCTTACCACCCAGAGCCTTTAACAGCTCCTCTCTGAACTCCTCACAACATTCTTCCTTCTTCATCTTCCACCATTTGGTCTTCTCTGATTTTACTCTTTTTCTCAACAACAGTCATTCTACACATCTGATGCCGTCTGGCCACGCTCTCCCCTGCCACCACCTTAGTCCCCAATACTCAGGTTTCCTCTTCTACACAGAATGTAGTCGACCTGCGCACTCCTTCCTCCACTCTTATCAGTCAAAGTATAAAGGTTACAGAAAGCAGAAGTCACAGCAGCCATCTCCTCAATGAGCCGAACGTTTTGATTTATGAACGGTTTAATCAGCACAAAGTCTGCAGGGGTAATTTAAAACCGTCCAGAAGAAACCACAGTGTGAGCAGTGACTCAGCGTTCGCACGGTTTATGCTGACGTTGTGTTCTCTGTAAACCTGATCTGGGATCGGTTCTGGACTCCATCCTGGTGAACTTACGGCTCTCCTGGACTCCGTCTCTGAAGGAAGAGGTTTCTCCTTCATGCAGACGACTCGAAGGTCTCCGTCGACCTCCAGGATTCCATATTTTTGTGTTTCTGCGGAGACGGCGTGAATTATTGCAACAAATCGAGACCAAAGGGCAAAAATGGAGAACAAATCTCGTACCTTGGTCTCTGCAGGGGTACGACAGAACCAAGCAGCCGTCTCCACACTTCGCCTGAACCTCTGAGAATCTCTGCTGGACTTCACGAAGGCTGAAATCCTCCTTGAAGAGCGTGTCTCTGGTGAAAGATGAGTGGGGAGACACTTCAAGCCAAACCTATTGTTGAATGTCAGAAGCTTACCCTCCAACGACGACGACGTGGTCCTGGATGGTGAAATGTTGGACTGCGAGCTGCAGGCAGGCCACGGCTCCCAGACGTTCCTGAAACAAGAACATTTACCTTCTCCAATAATTGGAAATGATTAAAGCCTCGTTACATGTTTTTATTGTTTGTAAATATTTACATCGTTGCTTCTTGTTTGATCGCTGAGGATCTTGACGTTTCTAAAATCTGCAGCCCATTCTTCAAACGCAGCCCGGTACAGAGCGTTGGTCTGTGGAGGTAACACAGCGGTATTTATTCTGGAAGTTAACGATCAAAACGCATCAAAAAGTCCAACTTTCAGACGTCCGACTCGACTCCGGTTCATTTATTCAGCTCCAATTTACAACTCTGGGAACCCAACGGAAAACAGGTCCAGCTTAAACCCAACCAGACTCACTGGACTCGTTTAAACCTTCCTACATTCACTCCAGTACTTTAATTTATTCCAGTTGAATCTAATCCAGCTGCTCAATCCATTCACTTTAAATTACAGTAGTTCCCCATTCGTTTTTTGTCAGAAAAACAAACGCTAGTCCAATTTAATCCTGTTTAAACTGAATTCACTAAATTCTAATTTTAATATAAATCTATACAATGCTTTCAAATTAATCTGTGCTGTTTAAATTATTCCATTTCAGTTTTATTCAATGTAACTGGATTAGTGCTCTAATCTAAATCAAACAGAACCCCATTCAATGTGTTGCATTAATAATAATAAAAACTGCCCGATTCAGTCCTGTTGATTTGATTTTTGTGAGTTGTTTTGTTCCAAAGTCACGAGAACATGTGCAACAACAATGTTTCACATGTTGTGCTCACGTGAGAAAACATTTTTTTATTGACAAGTTTTTGATTCAAATTCACAAAAGATGTATATGAAACCCTCCTGCTGCCCTTGGGTCAAAGTCACCCACAAGTCCTCAACTGCAGACTTTAACAAACTTCACATGTGAAAATCACGGTTTTTACATTTATTCTTGTTTCAAATACACAAAGAAACATGTGAAAAACACTTCACCTGTTAAAACATTGCCACATGTAAAAAAAAACAAAAAACTCCTTAAGTTCACAATCACATGTGGACACAATATATTTCACGTCACATGTAAATCTAACTTTACATGTACAAACCCGAGTTTCACATGTGCAGGTCATGTTTTCTGTAAAAATAGTTTTATAACTTTACGGTTTATTTCCGGGGGTTTCTCATGTGAAAGCAGAACTTACCACGACATAAATGCAGTCCACGGAACCGGCGGCGGTCAGAGCCCGAACCCAGTGGGTTATCAGGGCGCACGGACCCACCGGCAGCAGCGGCTTCGGGATGCCCGCCAGGTGAGCGAACCTTCCGGTTCTGTCCGAGCTGACATCCCGCTGCAGTCTGGTCCCGTAACCGGCGGCGAGGATTACAGCTTTCATATCAGTCTTCTGAAGCGGGAGAACCACCGGCAGGTTTTAAATCGATGGTACCAGAAAAATAAAATCCCAACTAAAAACACGAGTTCAAAGTTCTTTTTCTTCTTTGGGTTTATTTCAGTCATTACTAGCTGAAATAATTCTGCTGCCACCTACTGGACAGTAAAAAAAATTCATGCGACGTAATCATGCTACGACAGATAAAGTAAAAAAAAAAAAAAAAAAAAAAGCGCATCCTACACAAAATTAAACCAAATTTAACGCCGGTTAGGTAAAGCTAAATAAATTATTGTACAGTATATATTATGTACCGTAGTTTGAACACCGGCCGCGCGCTTGACGTCTTGAAGGGAATCCTTTTTTTTTTTTTTTTTTTTTTTTTTATTAA